ATTAGGAGGAATGGATACCTATAACAGTCAAGACGATCCATCTCCATTTGGAGATCACCGTCACCAATTTCAACAACAATTCTGGACAGATGAAGATGAAGAAGAGCGTTTTGCAATGAGGCAATTACCTCCATTACCTAGAAGACAACCCCAAAATGTTAATTTTTATGGAAGAAATTTTTAAAGAAAATGAAAAAATAATTAAATATTTGGTGATCTCATTTGGGTGTTTTTAAAAGGAAATAAATTTGTTTTTAATTGCCATTTTGTTTTTAAATTTTGTTTGTAATTTTTTAAAATAAAATTGACAATTAATTATTTGGATTTGGTCTTAATTATTTTTTAGTAAAAGGTTTTTAAAGCAATTTTCTTTTCTTAAACTTTCTTTTTCGAATTTCTAGCTTTTCAAATTTAAATAATTTTTATAATAAGAGGAAGGTTGGATTTTTAAAAAAATTATTGGATAAACTATAAAAATAATTTAAATAATATTTACATTTATTTAAAATTATAAAAACCCAAGGACACAATCGATTGTTAAAAGGCCTTGACAACCATTGGATACATGCAATTGTAAAAGAACAGAAATAATTATTTTAAAATAAATCTTTTTTTAAATTCTTTTTTGTTAAATTTTTTTAAAAATATTTTTATTTTTAAATTTGCTCATAAGAAGAAATATTACTAAAATGTAAATAAAGTAATTCTTCCACAAAATTTATTGGAGAATAATTTTTTAAACAGAAAAATCTAATAAAAATCCTAAATATCCCCAACTTTTGGTTTTAACTTGTCAAAGTATATATTTGAATACAAAACTAGATATTGGATCAAACTGACGTCGGAATCATACCGTTTCTAGGTTTTGACATGCTGCCCTAATTATAAATATTCACGAACAAATACTAGCCCTTACATATTCTCGTTCAAATCCCCTTTTTGAAATTTACAATTTTAAATTCCTCACACTCCCCATGTGATTACCAATTAAAATAAAATCTTTCCCTCCTTCAATCAATTTGTACATATTTAGGGTCAACAACCAACCAACCAGCCACCTAACAAATAATAAAAAAAAGGAGAGAATCATCCTCTCCATTTTCCTTTTGCCATCATAAAAACTCGTTTTTGCGCCGTCGTCTTCCTCTAAAAATTTCCCATGTTTACGACTTTCCACCTCTTTTCAAATATCCCCCCAAAAATTTTTAATTTCTTTTCCTTTTCTTTATTTTTTTCTTTGTCCTAAATATTCAAATTTTATTACTTTTTCCATGGAATTATTATTTTTATTTTGAAATTTTTAATCAATATAAACACAATTTATAACTAGGCGTGAATGTTTAAATCCCAAAAGCTTTCATCCCTTCATTAGGATCATTATTAAAAATATTATTCCATCACTAAAAAATATTTTAGTCAGTTTTTGGGTTTTCAACCAATGTCATGGAAATTAAAAATTTTAAAAGACATACCTCTCATTCTGTTAAGAAGTGGCATCCTAATTATATTCGAAGTCTCCATCTATTAGAAATTAAAGATTTACAGTTTGTTTAATAAGGTACCACTTAATTAGAAAGCTGATAACCTTCTAATAATAAGTGCGGCTTATTGAATGTTTCCTCCAATATCTGTAGATATTTTACACTCATTCTAACTCTTAAAAATATTAAAAAATATTTTTTACTTTCTTCTAGTATTTCTGTTCATGTTTTGCATAATTCCATTATTTACAATTAAAAATGCCTCTTCAACTAATAAAAGATAATTTATGGGGAAATATATCAAAATTAAGAATAACAACTTTAATATTAACAATTTCAGCAGAATTTCTTTTATTTATAGCAACATTAACGCCTTCCTGGCAAGTTGCGGAAGATACAGATATTCATAGAAATATCCAAAGCGGTCTTTGGATTTATTGTCCAGGACAATCACAATGCTGGTATATATTTAGTGATGATTTAATTAGTAAGTTTTTTTTGTAAATAAAATGAAAGAAAGTTTATAATTTGATAGATAATGATTTAAAAATTTACATAGATAACTCAAACTCGGTATGAGGATTGTATGTATAATTTGATAGGTAAGAGTTTCTCCTTTGGAGAGGCTTATACATATTGTACTTCCCTACAAGGAAAATATAATTAAAGCACTTAAGATTAACCAAGTTGGCTTAGGAAACATCTAATAGTTGATCAACAGGCTTAATTTTGTGTTGGGCTTTTTCAATTTTAAATAAATATTAACCTGATTATAAATTTTATTTCAATAGATTATTATGAACGTGTAGAAGTTTGTCGATTTTTATTAATTGGAGATTGCCGTAAAAAATTATTGAGAACTCCCTACTTTTTTGGTTGGCATTATGCTGTTCTTATTTTAATGTTTATTACTTTATTACTTGGAGGTGGAGCTATTTTAGCTTTGGGAATTGGAATTGTTAAAGAAAACTTACTTAGAACTATGACTGTAAGGGGAATTTAGATATGTTAAAAAATATATCTTTTTAGATAATTTTGGATGTTTTGCTGGGGTTTGCTTGTAAGAATTAAATTTTTAAAAATATTAATTTTTAAAAATTAAAAAGTTTTACTTTGTGGAATTGGGTTAGCTGTTTTTATGATAAATGGAGAAATGTTAGAATCTCGTTATTTAATTGGTGTACAAAATATATTTCCTGTTTAGTTTTTAATTTTTAAATTAATTAAATATTTTTGTTAGAAATCTTATGGATATTCTTTTTATTTGGCATGTTGGGCAATGCTTGTTTTGCTTTTTGCATTAATGTACAATTTAATTGATAAAAATATATTTGGACCAGTTCTTATTTTCTTAATTTTTATTTACTATTCCTTAAAATATTTCTACTTTTATAAATTTATTTTGAGTTACTTCCTAAGTAAAATTACGGGGAATTTTGAATCTTTTGAAGTTTTTTTTTCAATATATACTCACACTCACTGGGCCAATTTTAAATGGCCTTTCATTTGCCTTCCTAAACCTAATATACCGTAAATGCTGAAATAATTACCGTGGGTAATTATTGTTTGAATCTCTCATTGGAGGGGGTAATTATTAGGGAGGATGTGCTGCTTTAGGTTATATCTCAATCCAAATGAGGTGAAATTGAATTATTTTTTGATATTGAGTATTAAAATTTTCCACTAATTAAATTTGATAATAATTTTTTAAATATTTTTAAAGTTTGCGTAAAATAACTAGAGGGTAATTATTTGAGAGAGTAACTATTTCAGCATTTACGGTGTGTATACCTAATTCTAATTTATCCAAAAATACCCTCCTAACTATCAAATCCTTCTTTTTTTTATTTTTAGGAGTGCCATATTACTTACCAGTTCAGTTTTCTTTTCCCGAGAAGTAGATGCTGGTTCCCCAGTTCCATATGGAGATTATGATGAGGAATATAATAATAAAGAAATACTTCCCCCACCAATATTAAAATGGCAACAACAAGAACAATTTGAATATCCTTCACAATATTATCCAGAAATGGAAGGAAGAAATAGTAGAAGAATTGATGATAATAGTTTAATATTTAGACAAGTAAATTAATTAATTAATTTTTTGGGAAGGTTGTTGTTCTCTCTCGTTTTCCCTTCCACTGTTCTCAAAGTAATCGTCCTCTTAATTTATTATTCTTAAAACAAAAGTCATCAACTACTTTTCGGGGAAATGAGGGATAATTTAGGCTTCCCTCCCCCCCCCCCCCCCCCCCAATTCCCAAATTTTTATTTTCAAAAGTATTTTTTAGCCTTCTCCTCCTCCACTACAATATCAACAATCTCCAGTAAGATTTGAAGATTACAACAACAATATAAGACAGCAAACATTTCAAAAACATTATTACGCCCCAATTAATGAAATAACCTCAATTCCTTAATTTTTTAAAATCTCATTTTCTAATTTTTATTTTCTTAAATAACTTGAAGAAATAGTTAAATTGAATTTTTTTTATTTTATCTATTTTTTATCCAAATTAATTAATTTTAATTTATGCAGCAAAAAAGCAACAAAAATATTTAAAGTATTATTTACATTAAACATCCCCCATAAATTTAAAAATAATTAAGGATCTTTCAGAATTAACTAGAGAGTAGAGATCGAAATTTTTGAAAAGCCTGGACCTGTTCCTGGACTCTGGGTTTGATTTATTGACCTGGACTGGGTCCTAGGCCTTTAGTCCAGGAAAAACCCAGGCCTAGAAAAACCTAGGAAGGTCAAAAAATGCCTGGACTGGACTCTGGGTACAGGAAAAACCCAGGCCTTGGTCCAGGTCCAGCTCGATCTCTACTAGAGAGTTAGTTAACTGTAATTTTTTAAACAGAAATTTTTTTAGTACCCCAAAACCTATCGAAAAAATTTTCAGTTAAATAGTCCCTTAAAAAGTTTTTAGTTTATAATAGTTTTTGTTAATTTTAAAAATAATTAAACAAAACAGAAAAATAATACATAGTAGGTAAATAATTACAAATTTTTTAACAAAACTAAAAAAAATATAAAAAATAATATTTAAATACATACAAAATATTTACATAAAAAATACTCGTAAAAGAGTTTATATAGATATAAACAGGGAATGTTTAATTTTATGTCTTCATATTTAAAAAAATGGAAGGGGGACCAAATCCGATGGGAATCAACCAAAAAAAGCTTTAATTAAATAAACTGAGTAGATAATTTTGAAAAAAATTGGCCCGATTCAAATTACAAAAAATGTTTTGGTTTTTTCGATTTTGTTAAAAAGTTACTTCATCTTGGACCCAAAAATATTTGTCGGTTAAGTAAACACAATCGGCTATTTAAAAATATCTCCCCTTCCCCTATTTTTTAAAATTAATTATATTCTGTCTATCTCTTGGAATAAATAAACACAAAAGGGGTAGAGCTGTCCGAGACCGAAAAACCCCAAGAAAAGTTTTGAGTCAAGACCAAGAGTCTCGGACAGCTCTAAAAAGGAGCACCTTTCTAAAATCTACATATTATTGTGAGTCATTATTAATAACAAAACTAAGAATGTCTGTATGTGAAATAACACCACATAAACGTTCTCCTTTTTCATTATTTGTTGACTTTGGTGAGGAAGGAGATGATGAGGTTGGCTCGGTAATAAATAAAGAACTAATGAGATTATCCTGAAAATTAGAAGAAAATTAGAGACTAAAATATTTTTTTATGATTTTGGAAATTGAGGGCGAGTACGGATGTCAATGTTTCAAGGATAGATCCTGAAGACGGGATATAATTCCGGAAGCCAGTCCAAACTCTATTTCTTAAATTTATTTCCCATCCCCTTAATAATTAATCAGCCTTTTCAATTCTTTGTCATTGCCCTTCCTAATTTATAAAATATTTTTAAATATTTCCTCACTTCCGTTAAAATGCGCATAGCATCAACAACAGAACAATTAGGAGAAACAGTTCTACGTCTTGTTTGGGAAAGTAAATCCTTAAATTATTTAAAATTAAAAATAATTTTCTCCCAAACTTTCTCAACCTCAACAGGAGTTTCCTCCATAAGTCTAAAACAACGTTCAGGTGTTTGATGGGAGCCTAAATGTTCAAATAGCCTATCCAAAAGTCCATTTTTGTCTAAAACACCCAAAAGGGTTCCATCATTTGAAGAAAGTACAGGAAGTGAAGAAACTTGCCTTTAAATTAAAAATTTTTTTTTCAAAAAATTTTAGAAGAAAAAAACTTTTCTAAAAATAAATCAATTGCTTGAGCACAACTTTGGCCTTCTTTAATTGTTGCTATACTTTCTGGCCCTCCCCAAATTCCAATAAGACGAGAGCCAAGAGTTATTGATTTTAAATCTGGAGATAATGAACAACCAGAAGAAACTAGTTTTAACAATTCTTGGGTTATTTGGCGAGGACTAAGTACTCCAACTAATTCAAATGATTCAACATTAAATACAGGAACTCGATGGACACGATTTAATGCAAAAACGCGTGCCAAGTCCCAAGCACTGTAAAATTAAAGGAAATTAATTGAAAAAATTGTAATTATATTTTTAATTAAAAAATAAATATTTTTGGTAAAATTGGTTTTAAGTAAGGAAAGCAATAATCTTTAGTTTCGTCCAAATTCCGATAAAAAGCTAATTATTAATAGTTTTGATTCTAATTACTCTTAATGCAAAAATATATGTATATTTTGATATAATTTAGCCCATGATATAATGTACCGTATTTGCTAAAATAATTACCAAGGGTAATTACTGTTTCAACCTCTCGCTGTAGGGGGTAATTAATAGGGCGGGGGTAATTATTTGAGGGAGGGACATTATTTCAGCATTTACGGTGACCCTTTTCTTGGATGTCGTTATATTAAAGACTCTTTATATTAGAATAAATATGATATTTTGATATGTATAATGTAGTCAAGAATATTTTCCGAAAAAGAATAATTAAGTTTATTTTATATTTTTAAATTCAATTTTTCAAATTTTATTTTAAAAAATTCCAAAAATATTTTGCATACCAAGTCTGGTCATCAACGGAAATTAAACGTCTACCATTTTGAATTTGTTCAATAAAAAAGCGAAGAGTTTGCTCACCCAATTGGCCATCTAATTTACGATGTGCTTGGCTTAAAGCCAACAGACAGTCTGTCACTGTAAATGGGGCCCATTGACCGTCAACTATTTTTTAAATAAAAAATTTATTTAAAAATACTTTGGACTTTAATATTTTTAAATTACAATTTAAATACCTCTAGCATTTGCAATTACTGCAAAACGGGGGGCCATATGTGAACTGAGTAATTGAACAGCTTTTTGAATCTTAAAAGGGGAAGGGTAACTAAAGAGCAAGCAAGGATTTACTTGAAGTTCAGAATCCATCATTACAATCATTGTATGGACAGAGGATAAATCATAACAACTTAGTGACTGAAGAAAATTTCGATATGCTTCAGAATGGCAACTATCTAAATTATAAGGAACTGTTTATTTCTCATTTACATAAGACTTACGAAAAGACCCAACAACTTCAAAACGGTCAATACTTTTACGAAGAATTGCATAATTCTTTTAAAAAAGAATTTTAGAAAATTAATTTAAAAATTTTTACAGCATTAAGTAAAGAGCGTTCAGGAATTGAAAGTCTTCGATGTCCAGCCCTAGCTTTATCCGGACTTAAACTACTAGCAAATTTTCTTTCATCTCCGGATTGTCTTTGATGTCCCATAGAAAGTTTTCTAACAGCTACAATTCGTCTTTTACTACAAAAATCTTTTTCCTCAGAATTATTATTGTTATTGTTTGTTGTTGGGAACTAAAAAAATTAAATTAAAAATTAATTTGAAAAAAATAAAATGAGAGAAAAAAAGAGAGAGGGGGTGAAGAGGGGTAAACTTGATAAAAAAATATTTTAACTATTAAAATTCTCACAAGGCTGAACATTGAACAGATGATTTTAAAAAGGTTTTGTGTACTTTTTAAAAGGGTATAAATAAATATAAAGTTGAATTTAGTCTAAAGCTTATCGATTTGGGGGAGCCGGAATTAATTAATCATAAAACTTTTAAATCCTCAAGATTATAAAAAAAGTACTTGAAAATTAAAATAAATAAAATTAAAAAATTAAAAAAGAAAGCACCTAATTAAATAGTATAATTTAAATAAATAAAATATAGAATATTTTGTCTCTCCATCCAAAAAAATTTTTTTATGAAATTTAATGAAATAAATGTAATAAATAATTGTTAGAAAATTTAAATTAAGATTGTTCACTACCGGTTATTAACCGGTACCCTCGGTTTTCGGTTAATCCAAATTTTAGAAACCCGGTTTTCGGTTTTGAGTTTTAGACAAATACCGGTTTTATTTTGGGGGAATTTTTAAAAAATCACTCATTTTTATGAGTTTCCGGTTTTTAAAATTTCATAAATACAGTTTAATTTTGGCAAAAAATATTAAAAAATCCAATTTAAAAACCCGTCTTAATCAACCCTAGTTTAAATTATAATGGAATTAATTAAATGGGAATTAAAATTTAAAAAAATAATTAAATTAACTATAAATTTACCAAAAATATTTATTTTTTTTTCTAAAAATAATTCCCAAATTTTTCTAAACATTTTTTGGGAAAAGGATCCATTTATGAGAAGCTGAGAATTATTTTTAAAGAAAAGGGAAAGGAGGGTGTGAATAAATAAAAAAAGAAACAAACAAAAAATATTTAACAATAAAGCTTATTTTCATTAAAATCGATTAAAAATAAAATAATTTGTTATTAAAAGATACTTTAAATTAAAAAATTAAAGATTAAAAAATATTTTAGAAAATTTCAAAAATTGCTTCGTAAAGACCAATTGAAATAGGAAAAGCCAAAGTGGTCGTAAACATACATATTTCCCCCAAAAATACGATTGTCCTAGGATTACCGTATAACCTGTATTAATTGCCCTCCCTCAAATAATTACCCCACTTCTATTAATTACCCCATCCAGTGATAGATTGAAACAATAATTACCCTCTCAGAAATGCCCTAAAACACGTTCAAATTTAAAACCTCGTATAATTACCCTCCCTCGATTAATTACTCCCTCCAGCGGAAGGTCGAAACAATAATTACCCAGGGTAGTTATTAAAGGATATACGGTACTTTTGAAAAAATAAAGATTTTGAAAAATATTTGGTATGAATTGATAGCCAATAAAAAATGCTACAAAAAATATATTTACAATAAATTCGTCTGAGATAATTTAATCGAGTTATCGATGGTTTTATTTTTTAACATATTGCCGAAATGTATAATGTTTAAAAGGAGACACAGGGCTGTTACTTTTAGTAAATTATACAGGTATTCAATTAAAATTTAATTTCTAAAAAATTACTTGAAGTCTTTAGGAAAGAAAATTACAAGTAATTGTCAAATACTTGATAATAAATAAAATTAAAAATATACATAGCCAAAAAATGTGAATAATTTTTAAAGATCGTTAAAATCTAAATAAAATTATTAAAATATTTATAAAAAAATAAAGGAAATTCTCTAAAAAATAAAATAAACACAATTTCATGAACATTCCACAAAAAAAAAATAAAAATTTATGGAACACACAAAATGATAAAAATATTGAAAAAAAGAGAGATTAAAGTGTTAAATACCCTCAAAAGTTTTTTTAAAATAAAAATAAAAAATCTTCTTTTTAATAAAAAAAAGTTCTTTTTCTTCACAAAAGTGTAAAATGATTAATTTAAAAATTAAAAAAGAATGTAGCCAAAAAATGTGTGATTTTTATTTTTAAAACAAAAGTTTTGAAGAAGAAAACACAAATAAAATATTCTCTCCCCTTCTAAATATTTTTTTATAAATTGTTTTCCCAAACAATTTGTGGTTGGAATGTTTAGAAATTAAATTAAATATATATCTGTTGCATCATTTTAAATATTATTTTAATTAATATTCAGGAATTGTTATTGTCCTTTTTTTAGAAGGAGAATTCTGGTTAAAATAAAAATTCCTCAGAATTTTTAAAAAGATTAAAAGAACGGACAGGAAGGGGGAAATTAAATGCTGCTCTCAAAAGAAAAATAAATAAAAACAAAATTTAAAGAAATTTCCGCCTAAAAAGAGAGAAGGATTACCAATAACATTTCCGGAAAAGTTTACATATTATTATTATTTTCCTTAAACTTCTATAAAAAGCTTAATGTACTAACTATTTTTAGATAAAAAAAGATGAAAGAATTTATTTATATTTAAATAAATCCTTTAACAAAGCTATTTAAAGTATTTCATCTATTTTAGACAATGATCGAATACTTCCTTTCATTGACAGTTAGTTAACTATCTTCGTAAAGTTTATTTATATAAATTGTTGGGATAGAGAGAGAATGAACTATTTTTGAGTGTAGATATTTTGTGAAAAATTGTGATTTTTCGGGGAAAACAATAAATAAATAGATACAAGACTAGAGGGGTGTATTTCTAGAATTTCCAATAAGGAGGAAGCTCAAAAAAGGGAGGAAACCAAAAGTGAAAAAAACAAGAATTAAAAATAGAATCTTGGTAGATATGTTCAGCTCGTCCTCAACAATCCTCAACGTCCCCACCATGCCCGCAAATGACTTCTGCTTTGCGGGCATGTTGAGGGCAAGCTGGACATTTACCCAAAATTTTATGCCTAAGAAAGAGATGATAAAGAGAAATTTTTGAAAAAAATTAAATTCAAACACCCACCCTATAAGTAACAGTTGTACAGCGTTCTCTAAACCCTCCCTCTTCTTCCTCAAAATCCTCCCCATCATCATTATCATCCAACACATTAACTTCTTCCGTTTCATTGCTTCCATTTTTGCCGTCAGTTGCTGATGTGCTGATTTTACTAATTTTTCGGCGTGGTTGTGATGTCACGCTCAAACGATGTCCAGTGAGAGATGCTACAGCATATTGACGCCAACTAAATATAAAAAATATATTTTAATAAACCCAGATTTTTCACATTATTCAAATACTTGTCGGTTCGAACCTAACCGAAGAAACTAGGATTTTTCGGTTCGGTTCCGGATATCCGAAGATTTTCCAGTAACCGTAAACCTTAATTTTTCTACATTCTCTTACTTCAAATTAAAAGAACATAAGATATATCCACCTCTTAGATATCTCAGATATAAAGGATGAAATAATAAAATTAATTTCCTTTCATCAAATTAATCACTTCAATCCATGTACTTAAATTAATCAAATACTTTCATCTTTTAGATAGATAAATTGTGAAATGTATAAATATTAGGAAAATTCACACCTCTGACTTGTTTCTTCCATTTCTGGTGGAATAATGTTAGCCGGTGTTTCCTTTGGATTAGGTAAAATACTAGCACATCCTTGTGTTATTTGGAAAGGACGTTCTCTTTGTTCCCAAATTGGTTCCATAACAAGTTCATTATTGCTACAATCTTTTGTGCAATTTAATTCCAAATCAGCAAAATCTAAAAGTCCTTCAGGTACAGGTATTTCTTCTTCAACATTTGAAGAATTTTGATGTTGATAGGGAGGGGAGGAAGAATTATTACTACAAGCAATGCCTAAAATGCCAGGACGAAGAGAATGAGGTGGTGGTACTGGTTGTGGTGAAGAAAAATAACTATTTGAATAATAGGGAAGGAAGGCAGCTGCTGGAGGACATGGCAAAGGCACTGAAAAGTATTAAATAAATTTATTTATTTTAAAAAAGTTTAAAAATTTCAATCACTTACTAATAAAATATTTTTTAACTTGGAGAAATTGATATTAAAGATTTGATTAATTTTTTGGGAATTGCTATAGAGGATTTGGACCTATCAACATAAATAATTAAAGGATATATATATTTTCCGGCCCGGGAAATATAGGCGGTAGTCTGATTTTTAAAGCATAAATTGAATAAAAATTAAACAGAATTTTATTTAATAGGGTTGTTCCCCGACGGGGATGGGGTCAAAAAACTCAATTTTCCGACTTTCGGGGACGGGAAACAACCCTATTATTTAACAATCTCTACCGGGTGTTCTCGGATGTTTATGACGTTGTTGACCATTATAATGGTGATTTAACGAAGAATTGACACCATTAAATGTTTGTTGTTGAATTGTTCTAGTAGTTGTTGGTGTTGAAGTTTGGACATTATTGTTGTTGTGTACAATATTAAAATGTTGGTGTTCTGTAGTAGTCATTCTACTAGTAGTATTTATTTAAAAATAAAGTGAAAATATTTTAAATGAAAGTGTTTGTGCACGCAAACAATTAATTAAAGTACGGCACGTTAAAAATAAAAATGTTGTTTTTATTTTATTTTTGTAGTTATTAGTAATTGTTTTTGTGAATAAAAAAAAAGAAGGAAAGGTAAAAAACTGTAAATAATATTAAAGAAATTAAAATTAAAAGCTAAATAAATGTTGGAAATGAGAGGAGATGTTTATCAGAAATTAAATAAATGTTTGGGTAAAAAAATTATGAAAAAAAATACAAAATGTAGGGAAATAAAAATTTAAATGGAGATAACAGAAGAATGTCATTCAACTTTTTTAAAAAAATTCAGAATTTTAATTTAGGTGTTGGAAAGTAATAATTAAAAAATACTTATGGTTCTACGAATAGCCAAAACAAAATAACGTAAATTCTCTAATAAAAGCACACCCTCCAACAGGATTGAAAAACAAAAGCACATTGCTTCTATTAAAGAATTCACGGTATATTAAGAATTAAGGTAATTAAAGACGGTAATTAGACGGTAATTAAAAACGGTAATTAAAGAATTCACGGTATATGTAAAAAATTAAATGTCTAAAGTACTTATCAGATTGTAATAAATGCACGTCCGACTGATACATACAGAAAATGGAAAAATATTTTAAACAAAAACTCTTTGAAGAATTATTATACATTATCTCTTTCACTTTTTGTTTTAAATTTTATTTTCTTTTCAAAAAATAAAATTAATTATTTAAATTTCACTCACCATAAATTAAAAACATTAAAAATTAATAAAAGAAAATATTTTTAAAAATAAATAAAAATATATTTCATATGCTTAAAATAACGCTAGGCACTTTTTTAGACATGTACATTTTTAATATAAAGGGCAAAAAAATTATTTTTATTTTATTTTAATAATAACAAGAAGAAAAATTAAAATAAAATGGATTGCAATTATTAAAAATAAATGTTTTTTACAATAAATATTTTTAATATTTAATAATATTTATTTATTTTAGAGATAATTAGTAGATAGAAAAAGAAGAATATTATTTTTAATAAAAACAACATTTTTTTCTTTTTTTTGGATAAAAACAATTATTTAATATTTTTTGTAAAGTAACAATTTATTTTATTTTAAGTTTGTTTTTAATTATTTTTCGATATATGTACATATTTTTCATTTTCTATTTATATTTTTAAATTTTGATGACGGTATCTTTGAAGTTGATCCTCTAGAGCAACTTAAGACTAGGGTCATAATTTTCTTTGAGATAAAGTGTAAATCCAAAATAGAAAGTAGAAAAATATTGAATAGGACTTGATCCTTAGAGCTCTCCGATATAAAATTATTACCCAATCAACCATCCCAGTACCGACTAATCGTCTTGCCTTCATCTTTGTTTTATTTGATAGGCTGGGAGGAAAGGAAACTTCGCTGACCTTGAAATAAAATAAAAGTTAAAAAAATTGTTTTTCTTTTTTTAATTTAAAAGTTGCCTATTAAACATTTAAAAAATTGAGAACATATGTAAAATATTTAAATTAAAAAAAAATTATTTATAGAAATTTATATGTAGACTTACATAAATATTTAAAAAATATTTTTTCACACACGAGAAAATGCCTTAAAAAAGACAGGAAAAAATAATATAAAAAAATGCACTTTTGTTAAAGAAAAAAACATTTTTTCTCAATTGGGGGGATGTTTGTGTATATTTATTTGGAAATAAGTGAAAAAAAAGGAAGGACCAGTCAGAAGAACATGTGACTAATTTTGCGGAGAATTTATTTTTGCGGACAAAAATATTTTTTAATGAGTTAAAGTGCAATTTTTTAAAGGAAATTTTTAAAGAAAAATCTTAGTAATATTTAAAATATTTAAAGAAGAATTTAAAGAAGGACTAACTATACCCCCTAAAAATATTTTAGGTCCAAAAATAAAAATATAGCATGCCTACTTGGAGGTTAGACGATTAAAAATAAATCTTGAATACAAAAATTCAAAGCAAAAAAATAATTTCTAAGCAAAAAACCTTCACGTGGATACAAAAAAAGGAATAAAAGATTAATAAGAGAAGAAAATATATTACTGGATAAATTAAATGGATGAGGGATTGAGGAAAAAAACAATGGACTAAAAATATACACAAACATATATAGATGTGTGAGCACGCGAACGGGGAGTTTTTTTCGGGCTTAAAGTAAAAAAGAGAAGGGCTGGCAGCAGATGGAAATGAAAAAAAAATAAAAATTAAGGAAAGGATAAAATTAGACAAGTTAGAGAAAAAATATGAAGAAGGAAAAAAGTATATGTAAACAACCAGCAGTTGAAATGAAGGACATTGTGGACATTTTTTGCTTTTTTGAGAGGAAAATTTTTGTTTATTCAACGTTTAGCTTTTGAATTGTGTGGAGGGTTTTTAGATAAATAATTTATTTAATAATTAAAAATATTGCAGATTTATTTTAATGAAAGTAAAAGATTCAGTCGAACCTCAAACTGCAGTTTTTCCAATAAGTTAGTTCATTAACCTTCAATTTCAAATGCAGTCTATAAAAAATTTTGTCGGATATAAAACAAAATCCGAAATATTATTGTGATTTTCCCGAAAATTTATTGTGAAATCTTTTTTATAAAATTGATAAATTAGAATTAATAAATTAAAGAGATAATAATTTAAAATTATTATATTTAAAGATTTGTATTTATGCTTGAACAGCAAAAATATACCTACTTTTTTAATTAGTGTGAATTTTTAATAGTTTATTTTTTTTAGCAAAAACCCGTTTTTTGTCCCAAGGTTGTACTTAAAATCGGGATTATTTTCAAAAAACATTTTTAAAATATTTAAGGAAGATTGAAAAAATCGATGGTGAATTTTTCTTTCAAAATATGAAAACTCGAGAAATTAATGAAATATTGAGTTAAAAATATACAAATTTGGATAGGAGAGACATTTTGAAAAATTAAAAAAATATTAATAAAAATAATAATTTTAACATCAAAACAAAAATATTTTTTAATATGAAGAAGGAAGAGAGAAAAGCATATTTATTTATACAGCTTGTTAAAAATTGTTTTGATCAAAAATATGAGTCAAACATGACTCAAAACAACAATTTTTTTAAAAAGATCTTATATAAAAATAAATAAATGTATATTTGTGTTTTAATAAATGTGTGTGTAGTTTGGATATTAAGAAATTAACAAAAATAATATAAAATAAAAATATTAGAATATTCCATAAAATAGCTAAAATCTAAACTCTAAAATATTCTAACCGAGTTTGCGTCGTTATTACGAATTAAAAGAAAATTCTTTATAAATTATGAAAAAGATTTAGAAAATAAGGAATTCTGTGGATATCTAAAACTCGAAAGATTTTTTTGCGTTTCGATAATAACTTTAAATTTTAATTTGATTTAAAATAAAATTAAAATAATTTCAGAATTTATTTTTGCATTATAAAATGATGCATGAATAAATTATTAGAGATTTTAAATATTCCCCCTTATACTCCACCCAATGCTTTTCGTTTCTACATTTTAAGCAAAAACAAATTAACACTATAAAATTATTTTTAAACACTATTTTTGTCTTTTTTTCCTTTTATCGCTTCCGAAGGTTTTCGAGAGAGAGAGTTTTTGGCCAATACCCCAAAAAACTCCATATTCTGCATTTTGTCGATGTACTTTTTTGCTTATTATTTAAGGCTTCCTTTCTATTTTTGCATTCCTCTATTGCTTTATAATCGTAAACAAAACCAACTTCTAAGTTTTCACTTATTATTTTCGCTTACTAGCTTACTGCTTTATTCTCTTCTTTTTTGTGTTTTTAAAGTAAAATAAAAATAAGAAAAGGAAAAAATTAAAATTCTAAGATAAAATTCTAAAATGTACATATATATTTAATTATATATGATATTGAGGTTTTTTGGGGAGGTGATGTGGTAAAAAAAGGACTTTCGATCAAGATAGAAACTTTTACCATAATATAGAAGAATTGGGAGAGAAAATCATTTACAGGCAACTTTTGATATTAAATTATTAAGTTTCTTGTTTTGCTTAACCATATTAAGGTTTGATAAAATGAAGTGATATCTTCCTTTCCTAATTTAATCAGAAAATTCTTAATTTCTTTTTTTATTTTCTTCTCAGCAACCCTATCCCTCCTCCCTCCCCCCTTCGAGACTGGCTTGAAAAACAAACAAACATCTCTTTTTTGTACTTTTTTTTTCACATATGTTCTCCCTCTCCCCTCCATTCTTCTAAAAAATCACAAGTTTTCTCTTTTCCCTATCATTTAATGTGAAGAACGTGGAACGGATTGATTATAAAGGAGAACGGCGTTCGATTTATATGAGAGAAATTTAATTTAAAAAATAAAGAGAAAAATCGCCACAAAAAAAATTTTTTTACACAAAATAATCTGATAAAGATAATTTAAAAAAAAGTGAAAAACATCATTTATTTGCACACAATTAAATTTTAATAAAAATAGAATTTATTAAAAATAGGAGGTTAAGTATATTGAAAAGTAGGGTTGAATGAGATCGGGATCCCGACCTAAAATCAGGATCGGGATTTTGGAATGCGACCTCGAACCCGATCCCGCTCAACCCTATTAAAAAGGTATAGATTTTTTAAATTAAAATTTATATTTTCCAAAAATAAATTGGACTTTTAAATAAATAAATAATGACTGGAAGAAGTAATTTTAAGTATTTTAAAATTTAAAGTAAAACAAGAGGGAAAGTGTTTCTTAAATTAAATTAATAGAAGATTAAAAGAGAGATAACATTATGAAGGTTTCTTCCTGACAGCTATAGGGTATATTTTCTGAAATATTTCCTGAACAGTTTTTAAAAATCCCCTCACAATTTTTGATTAATTATTTTGTAAATTTTTATTTAAAAAAGTTACTTTTTAAAATAACAAAAATATTTTTTAAAATAATTATTTTGAATTTAATTTTTATAAAAGGACATATTTAAAGGTTTTTTTTGTCATGGTTACCATTATTGTATTTAACAGAAAATTACTAATTGTCATATGATAATGACAAAGGTTATAATTTAAACGTTCTGAAATTGTTAATTATTTAAATAAAGTATATGTACTTTAATTAATAAAATAAATAAATAAATTTAATTTGTCTGGAATTTAAAGTAAAAATTAAATAAATACATATATTTTTTTAACATTTTATCTAAAAATAAGAGAATACATAGTTTATTTCAGAGATGCATTAAAAAGTTATTTTAAAATATTTAATGAAAAATTGGGAAACAAAAATTAATTATTAAAAAAATATTAGTGTTTATTACAAAAATTAAAAATATTTATTTATTAGACTAGTAGACAATAATTAATTATTAATTCTTTTGTGAGATCATTAGTATAATTCGTTTGCAAGATAGAGAGGTTTAAAGGAAAAATTTGTGAGATCGGAAAATTAAAAAATTAAAAACATTAATTTTTACGCACAAAGTTGTTTTCCTACTAGAAATATTTTGTTAAAAAGTTTAAGAATCTGAGAAATCACAACAAAAAGTTAGCAAACCAAAAATAATTTCTTAAAATAATTTTTGCTAACTTTTTGGAAATTTGGCTCAAAATTATATTTTTACATAAAATAGAGTAAAATGATTATTTGCAACAATGGAGAATAATGAAAGGCTAATATTCCCCCAACAATTCGGACTTTGGACTATAATTCCCAACACAAAGTATATTTCATAAAAAGGTTGTTTTCCGCTTTTTGCCTTCCATCTCTCAACAAATGATGATTTTTAATGGTCATTCCCCGACCTCGCTCGACCACCTTGCTGAGAGAAGGGAAAAATAAAGCCTTTGTAATTGTTGGGAGAAATAAAGAGTCTGGTTAGAGGGGGAGAGTATTTCACAAAGCCTGAGGAAGAAGAATAACCAAGTTAAAATTTTTAAATTAATTTCAAAAAATTTATTTCATTTCAGCCGGTTCTCCAGTTATTTCCATCTCTACTCTCTCATTATTATCATTTTCCTCCTCTCCAAAAATTACAGCTTCAAAAGGGCTATTAGGCCCATTAGGAGAGGAAGAAATTGGTGTTGTTGTTATTGAACGACAAAAACTTCCAACAATTCCACTATTTCCAAACCCATTTGCTGAACAATTTGAATTACTTGAACTTCCACAAGTTTTAGTGTTTGTCGAGGTATTTCCGTCTCCGTTACTACTGCCAGTTACACAATATTTCTTTTGACGAGCTCGGGAGTTCTGAAAAATATTTTGTTTATTTATACTGTTTATTTAGAAATTTTTTTGAAAGTGAAGAATGCTAAATACTTAAATATTTAAAAAATATTTTCTTTTATTTCGCAAATAAATCTATAAGAGCAAGATTCTACACATTATTCACTTGATATAAGAGGTGGGGTCCGATTTCCGAAAAAATTTTGATTTCCGATTTCTGACTTTTAAGCCAGTTCGATTTCCGACACCACTGACCGTTCCGACCCAACTCTGCTATTTTAATTATGTACCTGAAACCAAACTTGAGTCACACGCTTTGTCAACCCAGTCAATCTAGCAATTCGTTCAAGATCTATAATAAAAGATAATTTACTTAAATAAAGTTAAATGAATAATTTAAAAAATTAATCAAAAAGTATAATTAAATCAAAATAAAAAATAGATAACCGGCCCCATCCGGATTACTGTCGATTTTAAAATTTTCTTGTAAAATAGAAAGTTGTTCTTCACCAAAGGTTGTACGTATTCGTTTAGTTTTTGGTTGGCTACCTAAAAAATATTTTTTTTAAATTTAAAATATAACAAACATTGTTCACCCAAAATTAATTCCATATAATGTATTTTACAAAGTAATCTTGGAACTAAGCCATAACCATTCGCTTCATGAATTTCTGATTTTCTTAAAACAGTGTCATCCAATACAAACGGATCGTTGGTATTAAATTGTCTGTGACAATATTCACATTTAAAACAAGTTAAATGGTATATCCATTGACGTGCTCGTCTAATCCAGACTTTTGCTGGTATTTGCTTTTCACACATTGCACAATGGGGAACAATTCTATTGTTGGAACTGGAAAGAGTTTTTCAATTTATGACAAAGAGTTTTAGAACAAAAATTCATAGTCTTTTGGCCAGATCCTTTTCCTAAAGTTCGAATTCAGTACGGTACAACCTGTACTATATGTATACTTCGGATTGTACTAGGTAATATTTTACTCCCTCATTACTTTGCCATCAACTCTGATCAAATTTTCACTCACAAGTGATAATATGGTACTATAAAAGCTCAATTTTATCATACTTCTTATCAACAACACGTAACTACTTCGTCACAAAACTCGTATCTTCGATTGCTGCACGATGGACATATCTTCGGTATCTCCAGAGGCGATCCGCATGCTCATGTTCGGCTGTCAATATCTGGTGATGTTCTTCGTTGCAACCATGCTCGCCGCGCAATGCTGCAAGAAGAAGAAGAAGGCTCCAGGTACAGAGATGAAACCACCACCGGAAGAAGGAGCAGCAGGACCACCATCGGCAAAATCAGCTGCAAAGCCGCCCGCGTGAGTTCTATTTTCTATATTCATAGCTCATAAATGTACTTGATTCTTTTTTCATTTTAGAAAGCCTGCAGCAGCGAAACCTGGAGCAGCGAAACCACCTGCTGGACCTGGCGCTCCGAAACCTGGTGCTCCTGGCGCTCCTCCACCTGGCGCTCCTGGTGCGAAGCCTGGTACTCCTTCCGCTATTGCAAAGGCAGCTGAGGCAGCTAAAAAAGTGAGTTTTACTGCAATTTTAATACGCTTCATGTACAAAATGTACTATAAATAAATTCATTGTTTTTTCAATTTAGTCTGGCGTTCCTGCTGGTCCTGGTGCTCCTGGCGGTCCTCCACCTCCTGGTGCTAAACCAGGCGCTCCTCCTCCACCACCTGGTGCAAAGCCTGGCGCTCCACCTGCTCCTGCTGGTGCTAAGCCTGGCGCTCCACCTGCTGCTGCTAAGCCTGGTGAGGACAAGAAGGACGACGACAAGAAGAAAGATGACGACAAGAAGGACGATGCAAAAGCTAAGGGCCCAGGAGATGGAAAGTCATCGAAGGCTGGAGATGACAAGCCACCGGCGGATAAGGCTGCTGAGGGAGCGGACAAGAAAAGCGCTGCTGGAGCCGAGAAACCAGGAGAGAAATCGAAGAAAGACGACGTGAGTTAAAAAAAATTATTTTTTGAATTGCTTAAATTTATGTTTTATTATTACAGGCTGACAAAGACAAACCTGCGGAAGGCGCTAAGGATGAGGAGAAGAAAGAAGGTGGCGATGATGAGAAGAAGGAGGGTGGAGACGAGAAGAAGGAGGGCGGCGATAAGAGCGAGAAGGGAGCGGAAGAAGGCAAGAAGGATGAGAAGGAAGAAGGCGGCAAGGAAGAGGATGAAGGCAAAGGCGAAGAAGGAGGAGAGGAATAATCAGAATATCACATCTATTCCCCACTTCTATTCTCCCCTTATCACCTTGTGATGTAAATAGGAAACTACCATCTAAATGTGTATCCCCCCTCTAAATTTCTTCACTCTGAATTGTCCTTTACCGTATTGGTGTCACATTGTCAGGTTGTATGTATATACCCAAATATATTATTTACTCATCCCAATACCACATTGCTATTCTTGTGTTTCCCGCTGTTGTGATTTCTATGCTAATGTGTATGTATGTATAATATATATGCTTTGCTAATTTTTGTGAGTTAACGATGAATAAATTGTATTAATGTAATGTTTGGGTTTTTTTTTATTAAGTGACAGATTTGGTGATTAAATGATTAATAAATCTAGCTTCAGAGTCTAACGAGTAGAAAGATGGAATTTCCTTCTTTACTCCTTTCTAGTTTAATTTTCGACTTTGCCACATTAGCTTTGACGATTTACTTTTTCTTATCACAATTTCTCCTTAATGCTTAGCAGGTCCTTTAAGGGACACAGTGAATAGAGCCGTCCAAAACCGAAAATTTTCTAAGACTCGAGACCATGACAAAGAAGACTATACCTCAAGACCAAGACCGAAAAAACCCAAGAAAAGTCTTAAGTCAAGACCCAAGAGTCTTAGACAGCTTTAACTGACAAAGCTAACCCTTTTTAAAATAAAAACAAAACTTACTCCATCATCGTCTTTGCATACTTTCCATAACAATTACAGCAATATATTTTGTTATCGTTTACAAAACATTTATCTTCTGATTTTAAATCTAAATTACACACAGAACACTTTAAATTAAAAAAAATATTTTTTTAATAATTACTAAAAGCAAATTTACATTTAAACATTTTAAGTGATAAAATTGTTGTTTTTGTTGTTGAGTATTTTCTTCTTTTAAATTTAAATTATTTTCGGATATTATTTCATTTAATTTTATTTCCTTCTTTTTTAATAAAAGCATTTCTGGTTCTTGAATTTGTTCCTTACAATGAATGCATATTGGTGGGATATTTGTTTTATTCTGAATTTAAGGAAGGTTATTAAGTAATAAAATTTCAAATTTGCTCTAAAATTTATTTAAAAAAGCACTTGTTTAACCATTTATTTTGATCAGACATAAATACAGTATAACCTGTATTAATTGCCCCCCCCCCTCGATTAATTACCCCACTTCCATTAATTACCCATACAGCGATAGATTGAAACAATAATTACCCGCCCCCTCACAAATGCCCTAAAACACGTTCAAATTTTAAACCTCGTATAATTACCCTCCTCGATTTTACTCCCTCCAATAATTACCCAGGGTAGTTATTAAAGGATAAAAACACTTCGAATAATTCTAGAATATATTCAAAATCTACCTCTTCATTTATTGCTGTTGGGGTGTTAACAAGTTGTTCTGATTTTATTACATCTTTTATCTATTTAATTAAAATAGTTTTTTCTTCAAAAAATATTTTAATTATTTACCATATCATTTGCCTTTAAAAGCCCAATTTGTTGATATAACAAAGCCTTTTCTTTTTCATTATTTTCATCAATATTTAATATTTGATTTAATTGTTTTGTTTCACACATTAACTGATTTGTATTATTAAATCTTTCTCTTCGACGTTTTCTTGTACTAGATTGAATACTTCCATTTAAACGACGTGAAGTTAGCGACTTCTTTGTGTTTACTAAATTTAAGTTTTAGTGAATATTTTAAAATAAAAGGGGACTATAAATTAAATAATGATCACATATGTATTTTTTAAATCTCTAAACCTAAAAATCTTCAAAAAAGAAAAGTTGGAATAATTAATAAAAAAAATAACCAGAATTTCCGTATTTTCCTGATAGTGCGACCGGTCGGTTTATTTTTCATTCTCCCTCTAGGGTGTCGGTTTATTAGAAGGGGTCGGTCTAATAGAGAGAGTCGCACTATTAGAAAAAATACGGTATTTCAGAAGAGATAAGCTTAGCTTTTTTTTGTGCTAAAGGTTATAATTAAGAAATAATTAAAATTTATTTTAAATTAAAATAACCAAGATTTGATTTTCTATTTGACGAAATAGACAAATTATCTGTTGAATTTATATTTGAATTGTTTGATAAAAATTGGGGGATATTGTTGTTGTTGTTATTAAATATTTTTGTTTGTTGTTCTGAAAATTCTAATGACGAAAATTGTTTAGTTAAAGGTAGGGAAGGGGAGGATTGTTGAAGAAGAAAATTTGGATTGTTTAAGGATGTTGGGGGATATAATGGAAATTCTGTTGGTGATTTTGAAGTTAAAGTAGAGGAGGAGGTTGGGGTTGTTATTAAAAGTAATTCATCTGGAAATTTGTTTTTTTATTAAAAGATTTTAACTAGGGTTGTTGGCGACCGGTTATTAACCGGTACCTCCGGTTTTCGGTTAATCCCAATTTTAGAAACCCTGTTTTCGGTTTTGAGTTTTAAGCAAATACCGGTTTTATTTTTGGGGGAATTTTTAATAAAATCACTCATTTTCACAAATTTCCGGTTTTCTGTTTTTAAAATTTTCTAAAAACGGTTAATCTTTGGCAAAAAATTTCAAAAATTTCGGTTTTAAAACCGATCGCCAACAACCCTAATTTTAACTAAAAAATAAATAAAGTTAGGAGATTAAATAATCAAAAATAAGGTAACAAAGGATAAAGATTTTTAGATATAAACAATTTTTACTTTGTTGTGTTGATTGTATACTATTTAATTGTTGTGTTAAATAATTGTCATTTTCCCCAATCATATTACTGTAAGAGGAGAATTGATCTGATAAAGAATTTGTTTGTAAATCGAGTAGAACAGAATTATTTTGTGTTTGGATTTTCTTTAAAATAATTAAAGAATAAATTAATGAAAAAGATTTTCTAAATTTTGTAATTTTTCTTCTACTTATAAAAAAGAAGAAAACAAAAAATCCCCTAAATTTTGATAAATATTTTTAAATAAAATTAATTAACATGTTCTTCATAAATTTGTTGATTTTGTTGAAGAAAATCTGTTGAAATATCGGTGAAGGGCACAATTCCATAAAATTGATTAAATTCTTGTTTCTGAAAAAGTTGAGAATTTTGACAAATATTTATATTTTCATTCCAATTTTGTGAAGATAAAAGAGGAGTTGGCTCGGAAGCTTGTTGAAAAAAAGGAAGTTTTTGTTGGTGAATTCCTTCCTCTCCTCCAACAATTGATGTATTTAGATTTTGCATAGTTGTTTAGAGGAAGGCAAAAAATGATGAAAATTTTTTTTAATAAAATTTAAGGAATGTCTGAATTAAATAAATTTTGTGGAGGACCCGAAAATATTTTATTTACATATCCAAATAAAATTTAAATTATTTAAATAATATTATTGCCCAAAAATATCTTTTAATAAATAAATCTTTGTATTTTTAATTAATTTTTTAAGTTAGGTAGCTTTAAGTTTATAGAAACTTGTGACAATTAATGGAAGTTAAAGATAAATATTTATTTTATTTTTATTTGTTTCCTTCATCAAAAATATGAGTTGGCATGAAATTTTAAACTTAAATAAATAATTTAGGCATCCCATTCACATTGCTAATTACAACAATAAACTTAAAAGTATTATTTAAAAGTATTATTTATAAAAGTATTATTTAAGAATTTATTTATATGCCAAGGAAGAATATTTATTTAAAAATTAATAAAAATATGAAAATGTTTTAAAACTAACAAAATAACTTCAGGATGGTTTACTGTATATTAACAAAACGGAAGGGAGAAAAGGGAAGACGACGACGAATAAACCAGCCAGCATAAAAACTCTCCATTCAAGCGGCATAAAATTTTGAAGATTCCTTATAAACCTTCGACAATGTCCCGCCTATTTGTATACAGGGTGGGGCAAAAGTTCGGCGACAAATGTTTTTAATAAAATCTATTGTAAAAAAATTTTATTTAAGATTTAAAAATGATAAAATATAATCAATAGGATATAATAATCATTTTATTAAAGTAATTTCCCAGAATGACCGACCCTGATTGAAATACACGCATCCAAACACTTACGGATGATACTCACAATGGTCGCGCATTGTTCATCGGTTATTTCGTTCCAGGCTCGCTCCAAAACAACATTAGTTCCTCCGATGTTGCGTATCGGATTCGGCATACTTTTTGCTCCAGAAATGCCCAAATAGAATAATCCACTGACTTAAATCCAGTGAGTTTGAAGGCCTTAAATCCTTCCCCCAAAAACCAGGAAACAGCTCCCCACAGAGCTGGATTGTCGTTTTGGCTCCATGCGCGGGTGCGCAATCTTGATGAAGCGAGAATTGGTTTTCTCCGTAATGCTATAACGCCCAAGAATGCAAAAACCCCCCTCAGAATGCCATTTTTAGACTAGCATTAATTTTTACATTTCATCACTCTGTTATGGCGACCAGCTGCGACCAGGCGTTTAGTCCTTCGACATTTCTGAAGCTTCTGATGCTTCATTCGATAGATAAGGAAATATGCGCGGCTGATCTTTTAGCTCCGAAGTCTAAGCTTCAATCTGACAATTCTTAGGAGGCTTTTCGAGCTCATTCCGAGATCTGAGGCCGTTTTTCACATCGATTGTTCGGAAAAACGGCGAATTCGGCATCAGACCACGTTTATGCTTTCAGGCGTAACTGCGGTTACCGGCCGGCCACTACTAGGATGGTCCTTAGTATTTCCAAGCTCGTAATATCGCTTTATTGCTTTGGAAACTAACATACGACAGAATCGAGCCGTTTAGCGATGTCACATTTTCGAACATTTTTAAAAAACAAAGAAATAATAGAAGCACGATTCTTTAACATTCTGTAAAATTTTTACTTTATGAGATAGGAAAAAATTTTCAAGATAAAATGTGTAGAGCGTGAATCATAGAATATGGGAAATCTAAAAACAAAGCAAAATATAAAATAGATTTTAAGAAAGGACAAAATAAAATTTGTCGCCGAACTTTTGCCCCACCCTGTATATCTCACAAACAGGCTCATTAAGAGATTTTCTTTGAAATAACAATGAAAAACAAAAATAAAAAGAAAATGTATATTTTGTATATTTTTGAATATAATATTTTAAATTAAAAAAAATTTTTTTGAAGACTATATACACTGCTCCACATAACTATAACCTCACCCTAAATTTTCGAATTTTTTAACTTCTACCGAATCAATCGGGCTGATTTTTATTTTATATTAATTATAGCAGGTAACAATTCATATAAACCCAAGAAATCGAAAAAATTTTTATTCGAAAATTTTTTATCCAATTTTTTCAAAAAACACCCTCCACATAACTATAACCTCACCTTCAGAAATCATATCAGCAATGTTCGAAAAGTTTCGCAAAAAATCACGTAAACTTTTCCTTTGATATTAAGTAGAAAACAAAAAGAACGAAGTCTTTAAGTGCTTTTTTCATCGAGATCCAATATCTCGAAAATCAACGGGAAATGGGGGTACAGTAACTAAAAAATATTTTCACAAGTGTAGACTGTAGATAAAATTTTTTATTATAGTCCATCTGAAATCCCACAAAATTTGCTACAAAATGCACTAGGTCCTATCCAGGACAAAAAATCTACCTTCGAGCAGCCTTGGGTTAAATGAGATGATGAATGAATTCACCCAAATCACCCCATAAAATATCATTATTTCGAGTTTCTAAATTTAACCGATTCCTCTCCAGTGATAAAATTTTTCTCGATGATAGGACTAAGTGTTTTTTGTAGCAAATTTTGTGGGATTTCAGATGGACTATAATAAAAAATTTTATCTACAGTCTACACTTGTGAAAATATTTTTTAGTTACTGTACCCCCATTTCCCGTTGATTTTCGAGATTTTGGATCTCGATGAAAAAAGCACTTAAAGACTTCATTCTTTTTGTTTTCTACTTAATATCAAAGGAAAAGTTTACGTGATTTTTTGCGAAATTTTTCGAGCATTGCTAATATGATTTCTGAAGGTGAGGTTATAGTTAGTGGAGGACATTATAAAACTAAACATTATAAAAAATGTTTAGTTCAAAAATATTAAAGGTAGAAGCTATATTTAAACTAAGGTAGCTCCCCGAACCTGCGGGGTTGGAAGTGTCGGGGATCGGGGTTTACCGGGGTAGAGCCTTCGGGATTCAGGTCGTGGTTTTTGCTAAAAAATCGTCTGGGTACGTAGACGGGAGCTACCCCAATTTAAACGATTAATGATTACAAAATAGATTTTAATTTAAAAATATTTTTTAATATTTAAAATTGTTATGTCTTTAATCATCTTCCTTCAAATATTTACAGTAAAATTTTCTTCAAATTTTATAACAATTACATAACAGCAATATTAGTCTTCACTGACCGTTCAAATAATTTTTCAAATTCTTCAATTGCCACTTTATTTTATATATTACAGAATCCAGAGTGGACAGATTTTAAAAATAAGGGCAGATGTGTTACAAAAATATATTTAAGAAAGAAGACAGAAAAATCTTTCTTTTACAGATCCTCTCTTATCCTATGATATAATAATACTTAATTCTTCGTTTAAAGTACTTTAGTAAAATAACATACATATAATTATATAGAGAATTGCGGGAAGGATAAAATGTAGTAGAGAAATAAATTTATATATCTATATACTAATTACTATACATATACATATTTAAAAGAAATTTTGAATATAATTTTTAAACATTTAAGCGTATGGCAGTAATTGTAGTACTACTTTTACTGTGTTGTGCAAGTGATATAGTAAGTCGTAGTAGATCTCGAAGTTTTAAAATCAACTTCCTGTATTATCTATTCACAGCCTTACATTAGCTAACTTGCATTTAATTACTTCTCTAAATGTTCTAATGGCATTTATTTTTGAAAATTATTTAGAAAACAATTTATTTTCAACAACTAAAATTTAAATTTAAAATACAAAATATATAAAAATGTTAATTTTAATAAAATAATATATTCGTTCACAACAATAATTTCAATTTAAATAATTTAAAATTCAAAAGTCAACCAAAGAAAAGATTACTAAGTTAATGTCCAAAAATCCAACAAAATGAGGTACAAAATGTGTTTACAAATTGGTGCCCTTCAGGGATTGCACAATTCCCTTTCCTTTTCTTTATTTTCACTATTTGACCGGAAAAAGATGACAAATTAGCTGCTAAATGGAATTCTTTGGATTAGAAGAATTAGAGAAGGAGGGGGAGGGGAAGGGGGGGGGAAGAATTAATACAATTATATTGACCTCTACATATAATTTAATTTAATTTTTGTTGTCCTCTTTAACCTCTTTTTTATTTCCTAAATCTTTTATTAATTTAACAAAATGATTGCTAAACATTTTATTGCCAAAGCTATTTTTCTAAGAAGCTTTTTAATTTTGAAACATTTTACACTTTAAAGGCGGGGTTAGGTAATTTTTTTAAACAGGATCCTTAAACCGGATTTCCGGATATCCGGCCTTTTTTCGGATCCGGATATCCTAATCCGCCATCCTTATTAAACACCTCATAAAATTGTTAAATAAAATTAAGATTTTATTAATTTTGTTTGTAGCATATAATTAATTATTTAAAAATACAATCTAGAATAATCCAATTGTTATTCTTATTTTTAAAAAGATTACAAACAATAACATCAAATTTTGTTTAAATTTAGAAAAGATAAAAATAAAAATCTTTTTTAAAAATTATTTTCTTTCTCCTTGAGTGAATTCCTCTAAATTTGATTTAATTTATTTTGTTTTCCCTCGCCCCCTCTTCACAATCCCTTCCTTCTTTTCTAGTTGGAAAAAAAACTAAAATTAAGTTAAAAAGAGAACAAATCAAATTTAAACGGCTCAACGGTCAAAATTGGCCTTAAAATTTTTGAGATTTACTAGAAAGTTTGTTTAGTTAAAGAAAATTCATGGATAACAAAAGAAAAATATACATATAAATATTTATATTAATACAAGGTGTGAGCATAATGACGTAGCTTTTGCTTCTATCATAACTTTTCCCAAATTTAATAAAAACAGATTATTTTGCTTGTAATACATTAAGAAAATTAATATACCAAATAATAAATATATTATAGAGCATGGATATCGGAATCATGGATAATGGAGAAGACATGTATTAATCTCTTAAAATTTATTTATAGTAAATGCCCCCCCCCTTTCTTCACTGGGAGATTAAAGTAATAAAAGTTAATTTTAAAATATTTACAAGAATTGAAGAATTTATGGACGATGGATAAATAGGTAGTTTCTTTTGGACTTATTAAATTTGTAATGGAAGATAAATTATTAAAAAAAATTAAATTTTAATCTCTTCATACAAAGCGCAACAATCCACAAAAAAGGAAATCGGCATTCTTCTTTTTGTGTTATTCAAATGTAAATGTTGCGCGGAGGAAGTAAAAGAAGCACAAATTAACAAATAATTTTTTTCTTTTTTATTTCAAGTATTTTTGTGTATTTTTTAATTCCTTTTTTTAAATAGAGTTGTTCTTAACGACATACAAATTTTACCGCAAATTCTTTTTTCTTTTCTTTTCAACAGTTAATCTTTTCATAACAAAAGAAATTTAAAAAATCAAAAAATTAAAGGATTTTATTGAAAAATAAAATTTATTTTTAATCAAATTTTGAGAAAAAAAATAAAATTTTATAAAATTTTTAATTTAAAAGTTAAAAAAAAGCAAATACTTTTATTTTTTTTGTTATGTATTTTATCAAGCTAAGACGTATAAAAAATCTTTAGAGATAAATAATATGTTCACAGTATTTAGTCAGAATTATCAAATTTTCCAAGCCTGATATTAAGATTTTATCAGAACTAAATACTCGTTTTATCATTTTTTACAATTTTTCGGGGCCCAAAGATTAATTACGCCTCCATCAAGAGGTCGAAATAGAAATTACACAGGTTAATTATTCGGAAAACAGTAAAAGAATTAAAATATAATTCTTCTTTTCTTCCATTTAATTTTAAACAAATTCTTTCAAAAACTTTTTGTTTAATTTCCATTCAAAATTATTATATTAACTTAAATACTAAAATTCCACGTAGTTTTAAAAAATATTAAAATATAATCCATAAAAGAATGACGTGAAGAAATAAAAGAAATCGATATAAAATATTTCAAAAAATCACTTAAGAAGGAAAAGAAACCTTTTGAAAATTGATAAGAATTTTTATTCATAAAATAAAAGAAAAGAAAAAAATTTTGTAGAAAAGCTTAAACCTCAAAAAATTGAAAAGAAAAATTTTTTATGGATTTTGAAAGGAGAATGAACAAAAGGTGTGTTTGGAGTAAGAGAAAAGAGAAAGAAAAGGTAAATATTCTGTTGATGACACGTGAAAATATTTATTGTAAAGTTGGCTTTCTATTGACTACTATTTTATTTTTTACTTACTAGTTTGTTTGTTGACAACCACCACAAGGTATTAGTAAAGGTATTCTCTCTTCTCTTTTATCCTTAAATATTTTTTTGGTTTTTCAGCCAGAAATAATTTGTTAAAATTAAAATATTTTAATAGAAAATTAAGGGTACAGCCCAAGTAGACGCACGGCCATAACCTGCTTCAAGATTTTCAAATCTGTCGAACTTAAGTATTAAACAATTCTCTCATCGAGCTAAAGAGATTGGTACCAAAATTGATAAGAGCCAGAAATATTCCAGCAGGTTATGGGTTTGCGCCGTTATGGCAGCGCGCCTACTTGGGCGTGTCCCAAAAATTAATTTTTAATTAATTTTAAATAATTAAATAATTAAATCAATAATTATTTATGTATAAATCTTTAAATTAATTTTAATTTAGACAATACTCGTGTTTAAAAATTAATTTAAAAAAATTTTTCCTAATTTTATAAATTGGATTAGTATTCTCTCCTCTTTTCTATTTTTAAATTTAACTCTCCTATTTATTTTTAAATTAAAAATATTTTTAATTTTAATACTCATTTACATTGTTTATTCTTTTCTCTTTCCCTTTTCAATCACATTTATTCAATCTGTCACCACAAAAATTGTTTTAAATTTTTTATCATTAAATATATATATTTAAGAAAAAATGTTAACAATATTTACATTATCAGTTAACTATTTTATTTATTTATAGGAATTTTTAAAAGAATATTTAACCTTTAATTGATATTTACTATATTTTTCTCCCTTTTTATTTTCTTAATTTAGGTAAAAAAATAAATTTAAAATTCGAACGAATTGAATTTTTCAAAATTTTTACAATTATTTTTGATAAAAGCAACAAATTAAAAATTAAATATGGGATTTGCTTATTTAAAAACACTTCATGGTATTTTGAGTGTTCTTCAAGTGGTAATCTTTTAAATATTTAAAAATAAAATTAACTTAAACCTTCATTTTGTATGCTTATTTGCGTATAAATACATCTCACCTATATCCAATTATTTATAACGGAGTCGTTACTATCGAGAATTTTATATAACGAACACTTTGAGATAATTTAGTAGGGGTATTTCTTTCGATATCCAACTTTCTTTATCTTACCAATCTTTGGATTGTCATTTCCAAGTAGTATTTGAGTCTGCCTAGCTCGCAGTAATGGGGAGAAAAATAGGTAATCGGAGAGTTGAACAAAAACGGGAGGTAATTTCGGGAGAATGGCTAATTGTAGAGGCGGGGGGGGGGGGGGTAAGGGCGTTTTCGAGGAAACGGGTAGAAAATTGCCTCACTGCCCCGTTTATCCATGAATAAACAGGCCAGAACCTAGGAAATTTCCAAAATCTACATATACATAATATTTTGAATCAAAACAAAATTTAAACAGTTTTTGGGTTTAATTGCTCTATTGGCTGGTTATTTACTTTGGGATGACACAAACGATGAACTTTATTGGCTTTTTTATATGGGACAAAAGCCTCTAGCAACCGTTGTTTTAGTTATTTTGTCATTAAGTTGGTTATATGGATTGGGAATATTATTTCAACAATTATTTGTTAATGATTTACTTGAAAAAATTGGAAAACCAAAGGTTCTTAATTTTGAGAATTTTTGAGTAAAAATACTTTAGATAGTCACACCCAGAGTCTTTTAATTAATCCTTAGAGGAAGACCTAACTAACTTTCTTTGTTTTTTCTGTTAAATAATTTCTCAATTCCTCGTTATAAATAGAATAGCTCTCCCCTTTTTGTAAATGGATATAGAATCAGGGAGAATTCAAGTGAGAGAGGCAGTGTTTGGTGGGGAAGCTTGACTTCCTTCTTCTTAAAAACTTAAATTTATAAATCTTCCCCCCTAATATATTTTTAGTTACTTTTTATGCATTTATTAAATGGATTACTTATTTCTGGCATAGCAATAATTGAAAGTTTGTATTTAAATCAAGAAATTGGTGGACATAAAGGAGGAGGAGATACTCCTCATCCGTCTCCAGAGCCTGGGGCTCTTTCACTAAATTATTTACCGCGATTAATTGTTGTGACGGTAATTTAAATAAATAAATATTTTTCACGAAAAATTATTTTTTTAAAAAGGTTTGTTGTTGGGTTATTGTGGCAAGTTATATTGGCCAATTTATTTATGTATTACTTCAATAAATACAAGATAATTTTGAAGATTAATGAAAAGCTAAAAGAAAAGAGGCAATTTAAAAGAAAGCTTTCATTGATCTCTCTCTCTCTCCCAACAATTTTTAATTTAAATTTTGCCTTATTTTTACAAATTTATTTAAAAATCAAATAGCAATAAAAATAAAAAAATTTTTTCATTTGTATTTTCTTAAAATTTTATAAACTTCTTTTGATGATATTCTAAAAGCTTGTCGACGAACAATTGTTGATTGGAAGGATTGTAATTTTGAATTATTTTGGATATTTTTGGCGTTTTTAATTATTTTTGCTTTTATTGAGTCAGATGGTGATTCTAAACGGGCATATTGTCTTAACAATTGTGAACGAAGGATTAAAAGTTTCCATGCCTCCGTTGAAGAGAGAGGCTTAAAAATATAATTAATTTTGATTTTAAAAAATAAAAATCATAAAATTAATTAGTTAAGAAGAGGATTCCAGTTAAGGATTAGATAGATTTTTAAAATTATTTTAATCAAAATTAGAACACATTAAATTTTTAAGAGGGGATGTGTCAATTAAAATATTTTCGAGACATAAAATGTCAAGTTATTGATGCAATAGAATATCAAGAAAATTTGTTACAAATCAGTTAAAATTTAGTATTTAGAGACCGGGCTGGGAGGGCGTACGAGAATTGTGTTCGATTAAAAAAAACATCCTCTCGATAACCGAGATTTTATTCGAGATCTTGTCTCGGTTCGATCCTTAATTTAAATATCAAAAAATTACCTCTTCTTTATCTCTTTCTACAAATTCCCGTTTATCTGTCAAATATTTTGTCCCAATTTTTTCTTTTGCTTTTTCTTTGCCTCCAAATGTTGCTATCAATAAATTTTCTTCAGGCGTCAATGGAAAAGTAAAATGCCTTTCTGGAGGGGGTAAGGCATAAAATTCAATGGGGGAATCACAAGGAATGTTAAAAAGACCTATCATTTTTTTTGGAATGTAAAAAAATAATTTTATTTAAATATTCGAGAGCAAATGGAATTTGAAAAAATTATGTATATTCCCGAACTTTTGTGTTCATATTGAAGTTATTAAATAAGTGTGAATGATTGCTTTATATGTATATAAGCAAATAATGTTTAAAAATTCTTAATTTAACAATACTTTGTTAGTAAGGCCTAACAAATAAAATCTGATTGTTTACATAAGCATATTTAAATTATGACTAAACAATTAGTATGTATGATTTCTCTCAATGTTATCGATTAAATTTGAGTTTTACAATGATAAAAAAAATTTGACACAGCTAAACTAAGGCAAGTCGGTATTATAGGCACAAACCTAATATTGTTCTTAAGCTTAAGAAGGGTATTTAATTAATACTCTAAATCTTTATAGGGGATCTTTATTTATTAGGGAATCTTGGTAAAAGTAAGAACAATAATAGGCTTTGTTATTCTAGAACAGCCATCGATATTTAAGTATTATTTATTTGGGAATCTTGGTAAAAGTAGGAACAATAATAGGCTTTGTTATTCTAGAACAGCCATCGATATTTAAGTATTATTTATTAGGGAATCTTGGTAAAAGTAAGAACAATAATAGGCTTTGTTATTCTAGAACAGCCATCGATATTTAAGTATTATTTATTAGGGAATCTTGGTAAAAGTAAGAACAATAATAGGCTTTGTTATTCTAGAACAGCCATCGATATTTAAGTATTATTTATTAGGGAATCTTGGTAAAATTAAGAACAATAATAGGCTTTGTTATTCTAGAACAGCCATCGATATTTAAGTATTATTTATTAGGGAATCTTGGTAAAAGTAAGAACAATAATAGGCTTTGTTATTCAAGAACAGCCATCGATATTTAAGTATTATTTATTAGAGAATCTTGGTAAAAGTAAGAACAATAATAGGCTTTGTTATTCGAGAACAGCCATCGATATTTAAGTATTATTTATTAGGGAATCTTGGTAAAAGTAAGAACAATAATAGGCTTTGTTATTCTAGAACAGCCATTGATATTTAAGTATTATTTATTTGGGAATCTTGGTAAAAGTAGGAACAATAATAGGCTTTGTTATTCTAGAACAGCCATCGATATTTAAGTATTATTTATTAGGGAATCTTGGTAAAAGTAAGAACAATAATAGGCTTTGTTATTCTAGAACAGCCATTGATATTTAAGTATTATTTATTAGGGAATCTTGGTAAAAGTAAGAACAATAATAGGCTTTGTTATTCGAGAACAGCCATCGATATTTAAGTATTATTTATTTGGGAATCTTGGTAAAAGTAGGAACAATAATAGGCTTTGTTATTCTAGAACAGCCATCGATATTTAAGTATTATTTATTTGGGAATCTTGGTAAAAGTAGGAACAATAATAGGCTTTGTTATTCTAGAACAGCCATCGATATTTAAGTATTATTTATTTGGGAATCTTGGTAAAAGTAGGAACAATAATAGGCTTTGTTATTCTAGAACAGGCATCGATATTTAAGTATTATTTATTTGGGAATCTTGGTAAAAGTAGGAACAATAATAGGCTTTGTTATTCTAGAACAGCCATCGATATTTAAGTATTATTTATTTGGGAATCTTGGTAAAAGTAGGAACAATAATAGGCTTTGTTATTCTAGAACAGCCATCGATATTTAAGTATTATTTATTTGGGAATCTTGGTAAAAGTAAGAACAATAATAGGCTTTGTTATTCTAGAACAGCCATCGATATTTAAGTATTATTTATTTGGGAATCTTGGTAAAAGTAGGAACAATAATAGGCTTTGTTATTCTAGAACAGCCATCGATATTTAAGTATTATTTATTTGGGAATCTTGGTAAAAGTAGGAACAATAATAGGCTTTGTTATTCTAGAACAGCCATCGATATTTAAGTATTATTTATTTGGGAATCTTGGTAAAAGTTAGAACAATAATAGGCTTTGTTATTCTAGAACAGCCATCGATATTTAAGTATTATTTATTTGGGAATCTTGGTAAAAGTAAGAACAATAATAGGCTTTGTTATTCTAGAACAGCCATCGATATTTAAGTATTATTTATTTGGGAATCTTGGTAAAAGTAGGAACAATAATAGGCTTTGTTATTCTAGAACAGCCATCGATATTTAAGTATTATTTATTTGGGAATCTTGGTAAAAGTAGGAACAATAATAGGCTTTGTTATTCTAGAACAGCCATCGATATTTAAGTATTATTTATTTGGGAATCTTGGTAAAAGTTAGAACAATAATAGGCTTTGTTATTCTAGAACAGCCATCGATATTTAAGTATTATTTATTTGGGAATCTTGGTAAAAGTAGGAACAATAATAGGCTTTGTTATTCTAGAACAGCCATCGATATTTAAGTATTATTTATTTGGGAATCTTGGTAAAAGTAGGAACAATAATAGGCTTTGTTATTCTAGAACAGCCATCGATATTTAAGTATTATTTATTTGGGAATCTTGGTAAAAGTTAGAACAATAATAGGCTTTGTTATTCTAGAACAGCCATCGATATTTAAGTATTATTTATTTGGGAATCTTGGTAAAAGTAGGAACAATAATAGGCTTTGTTATTCTAGAACAGCCATCGATATTTAAGTATTATTTATTTGGGAATCTTGGTAAAAGTAGGAACAATAATAGGCTTTGTTATTCTAGAACAGCCATCGATATTTAAGTATTATTTATTTGGGAATCTTGGTAAAAGTAAGAACAATAATAGGCTTTGTTATTCTAGAACAGCCATCGATATTTAAGTATTATTTATTTGGGAATCTTGGTAAAAGTAGGAACAATAATAGGCTTTGTTATTCTAGAACAGCCATCGATATTTAAGTATTATTTATTTGGGAATCTTGGTAAAAGTAGGAACAATAATAGGCTTTGTTATTCTAGAACAGCCATCGATATTTAAGTATTATTTATTTGGGAATCTTGGTAAAAGTAGGAACAATAATAGGCTTTGTTATTCTAGAACAGCCATCGATATTTAAGTATTATTTATTTGGGAATCTTGGTAAAAGTTAGAACAATAATAGGCTTTGTTATTCTAGAACAGCCATCGATATTTAAGTATTATTTATTTGGGAATCTTGGTAAAAGTAGGAACAATAATAGGCTTTGTTATTCTAGAACAGCCATCGATATTTAAGTATTATTTATTTGGGAATCTTGGTAAAAGTAGGAACAATAATAGGCTTTGTTATTCTAGAACAGCCATCGATATTTAAGTATTATTTATTTGGGAATCTTGGTAAAAGTTAGAACAATAATAGGCTTTGTTATTCTAGAACAGCCATCGATATTTAAGTATTATTTATTTGGGAATCTTGGTAAAAGTAGGAACAATAATAGGCTTTGTTATTCTAGAACAGCCATCGATATTTAAGTATTATTTATTTGGGAATCTTGGTAAAAGTAGGAACAATAATAGGCTTTGTTATTCTAGAACAGCCATCGATATTTAAGTATTATTTATTTGGGAATCTTGGTAAAAGTAAGAACAATAATAGGCTTTGTTATTCTAGAACAGCCATCGATATTTAAGTATTATTTATTTGGGAATCTTGGTAAAAGTAGGAACAATAATAGGCTTTGTTATTCTAGAACAGCCATCGATATTTAAGTATTATTTATTTGGGAATCTTGGTAAAAGTAGGAACAATATTAGGCTTTGTTATTCTAGAACAGCCATCGATATTTAGGTATTATTTATTTGGGAATCTTGGTAAAAGTAGGAACAATAATAGGCTTTGTTATTCTAGAACAGCCATCGATATTTAAGTATTATTTATTTGGGAATCTTGGTAAAAGTAAGAACAATAATAGGCTTTGTTATTCTAGAAAAGCCATCGATATTTAAGTATTATTTATTTGGGAATCTTGGTAAAAGTAGGAACAATAAAAGGCTTTGTTATTCTAGAACAGCCATCGATATTTAAGTATTATTTATTTGGGAATCTTGGTAAAAGTAGGAACAATATTAGGCTTTGTTATTCTAGAACA